TTTTTTTTTTGTTTGTTATTGTTGTATTCTCTTTTAGATCTGTTCGGTGACTGTAGTAGTTGTCCCTGTAAGTAGGTACTGAAATAAAACGAAAAAAGACATATTAATTTATGTGTATAACGAAAAACATTTACATGGCAGGAGAAGAAAAAACAAAAAACAAAGCAACAAGCTTATTTAGGTAAGTCAATTGGCGCGACCGAACTAACTCACGTAATAAACAAAAAAAAGCAGGTATTCAACGCGATATGATAACATGATGTCTGAACCAGGAAAACCGAGTACAGGGTACAATATTATACTATAAACAGGAAGGACAAGTATGATATTGTAATAAACACTATAACAATTTTTTTTTATCCATTTATAAATAAACACGTGAATAATAATAATAATTTAAGTTCTACGAAGGTTTGTTACTCTAGTAGGTACTAGGTATTATAATATTATTATATATAGGYATAGTGCTGACTTCCTATATTATAAGCAAACTTATATTTATGTATGTATACGTATAACGTAAATTCTTAATAGCATATTATATATTTTATTATAACGAATAATAATAATATTATAAGCTAAAAACGTTATCATCACGGTCAACATCAACTATGGAGCATAAAACGCGCTCAGACGATGTAGGAATCGTAAAGAAATATAAGTTCTTCGGGTTACGTAAAAAAGCCATATTAATTATTATTATAATATAATATTGTATTGTATTGTTTATTTGTTTATACTTCGTCGTGACTCGTTATGACTTAATAACAGGAAGGTCGATTGATTTTCACCTGGATTCTAAGTTTCATACGAAGGGTTCGATGCAAAAGCGAACCAAAGTTTTACTCGCTCCAATGATAATTTTATATCACAATTATTTGAGAACAATCATTTTATCCTACCGTTGTACCAACGAGTTTTAAGATTGAAATAAAAAATAAGCTAACTTGTAAGTTTTTTTCATAAGTTTACGTATCTAATTAACTAGCAACATAATACTTAGAAAGCAGGTATAATAATTTTTAATTTTAAAAAGAGCGTTACTACAACTGCTGTTGCGGCTGCACGTGCTATCCGCTGCCGACCATGAAGGTGACGTCACGGCGACGAGTCAAACACCCGTCCGTCAACCGTAGACGATGCATTTCGCGCGCGCATGTTTTTTTCATATTATACAGGTATAATATAGCAGTCTTTAAAATCAAATGTAGTATAATAATTGTGATTCGACCCACGTATACCGCCATCACCATTACCACCACAATCAACGAGAGAACATATTATACATAATTCAACTAGCAAACGTTGCCGATTCATCAGCCAGAGATGTGTACACGAATGTCACAAGCGGGAAACGGAGGACGAAATATACTCACAGGTAGAGTATTAAAGCTAAACAATTTTAAAAAACCTAATTATTTCTAAAACAACTATGTTCGCAAGAACAAGAGTAAAACCTCTCGGGATAAAGCACACRGCAGCAATCCCGACAATCTGTAGAGGACAACCGAAACACCAATCTTAATATATACACTATAGTCTATAGTATAAAYAAAAAAAATTGACTACCTTATTTCATAAAATATTTTTTTTGATCACCACGGAATATTATTCGGAAACACTAGTATGGTATCCCGGCGACTGTGTAAAGTAACTGATATCGCACCAGAAATATACGTATTAAAGTGTAGATTTCGATTTTCGAACGTGTTTCATGTCACTTTACGCGACGATGACGAGGGTGGCGACGGGCGCGACGGTAACGTCGAACTATACGCACGAAAGCCACGCGGTTGACTGGACCGATACCGTGGACGATTATTATAAGACCACTATTGCGGCGGCGGCGTCGGCGGTTCCGAAACCGTGTCGTCGTCGTCAGAGGCGGCGCGCGCGTATATGTGTGGGAGAGGGAGTGAGGGAGAGTGTGACGCGGCGGTGGCCGGACGAGATAACTGAAACTACTACTGGCCTTTTTTAGATGGCGAGTGGTGTACGTCGGCCCGGGAGAGAGTGAGAGAGAAAGATAATGAGAGTGAGAGGGGACATACACCGTGTAAAAATCCTTCCCGGCACCAGCTTATGGATGTTTTATAATGTATGAAGTCACATTATTACTATTACCACCTTCATCATTTTTTGTTCTTCCCCCCACAAAGGGACGATCTTACTGCTTTTCAACGATTTGCTCGTATAATATTATATAGAAGACGATCAGGGAGGACGGAGAGCAAAAGAGAAACCACACCACCCCACCTATTGACGAACGACAGTAATAAATATAAACGCTGCTGCTGATGCAGAATTAAAACAAATATATATATATATATATAGTAGATACATATAACTGCACTATAATAATTATAAAAATACGACTTTTAAAATAAACACCACCAACTGTATAATACATTTTTTATATAGGTACCTGTATAATATATTTATATATTTATATATTATATACATAAATATATAATGGAATACTTTGCGAAGAACAATTTTTCAGACCTTTTTTATGGAAGGTAAAGTTATTCTGTTATTAAAGATTAAACACATGCKTTTCATTAGTGCCATTTACATCATTAATACAAAAGTTATTATTTATTATATAACAATAATGACAAGTTTAAAAAAAAAACWACATATTTCCATACACCGCAATTTCATTACTATGATAAGAAGATTTAAATTTAAATTCTTCATTTGATATTAAGTACAGTTATTAACAATCAAATTTTAGTTTTTATTTCAAAAAATAAAATAATTTAATAATATTAGTACCTGCCACAAATAAAAATAATGATTTCATGGATATTTTATCAAAAATATTAGTCTGAGATAAACATGACTAAATTGTGAATATATATGCTTTGACGAAAAATCATAGCATACCAGTATTACAATATATTTGTTAAATATTATCCATAGTAATTTACCTATCTCAGTTTTTTCTATATTTTTTAAAACTATTATCTTCGATAAGTGCACTTTTATAATAATAGTATTAATGGTAATCGTAAATTATTAAGTAAATATATAATTATTAATAATTCATATCCATATTAGGTTGGCCCTAAACTTCGGGAGACCAAATACACGCAGTTCAAACTCAGACTATATGATAAAATAAATGTACTAATATTTTTTAAATCAATGATTTGTTATTTTGTGAATTGAACAAATTTAGGAATTTTTTTAGTTTTAATCTTATGATATTTTAATGACTTACTATTACTAAAAAATTAATTTGCAATATTGATACATTTTTTAAATCTATAAGATAAAACAAGGAGAGGGAGTGGTACTCCAGAGAAATATAGCATTTATATTTGAGAAGATGCAGTARGAAAAAAAAATTAACTCCTATTTCTATAAAAATATCTTAAATTTTTAACTATTTTGTGTAAACCCTCCTCAGAATCGTTTTTGAACTGTGATTATATTTGTTAGACGTTAAAAGTTAAAATAATACACTGCTTAAGTTATTTTTATTTAAATACTAATTATAACTCAAAAGATATTAAAATTATGATAATATATAGGTACCATGCGTGAATAAACATGCGGACAAATACATTGTTAAATTGCAATTTTAATTATAATTTTATACATGCATATTTCCGACATAAATTACCGTGTAATTGTTTGATACAAAATAATTAATAATTATTCAGTTATTTAAAAATTAACGGTAATTTATTAAGCTTAACAATATTTGTCAAAGAAATTAAAAGATAATAGATGCTTATAAGTTTATTTAAATATAATATTATACGCTTTCATACTTTCAATAGATCATAAATTAGCKAAAAACTTGGTGTAAATAAACACATCAACAATAACGATAAGAGCACTATATTTTAAATCTATAACAGAAGCGGCCACGCGTCTCGAATGACCCTCCCAATATAACTATTATTATTACTGTTTATCTTACATAGTTATAATTTAGATGATCAGTTGTGATTATCCGACATACCCGATCAAAGTACGAAACTTATTGTACCGCCCGACTACAAGAGTGATTGATAAATTACACAAGCCAAGCCAAATCTATTATCTAATTTATCAAACTCATCAGATCTGATGATGAGTGTATCACCCTAAATTATCTAAGGTATATAAGATCGCCCACACTAACCTAAACTAACCTATTGGTAGATTGTATTTCTCACAAACAAAAATACCATACATTTTAAATATGAAACAGAAGCAAGCTGAATAAATAAAATAAATACTTATCCTAACTTAATCGCCTTACCTACTTTAATATCTAAAGGTCAACTTGTTAAAGATAAGGCAAATTACTTTGATATAATATATAACTGGGTATACAATCAAAATAAAAAATAAAGACGTCAATAAACTCATTTACAAAAAGAATGGGAAAGGTGAATGGTTAGAAATATTAAAAAAWTTTTATCCTATCCTGAAATTTATCAACTCAGAATAGGTAATACACATTTTATTCAAGGGCACTTAATAAATAGAGAAGATAAAATATGTCCAATTTGAGATATTCTGGAAACAAAAATCTAATGCCTACATCAGACGAAGCAATCAAACAATAAACAACACAATTTATATTGGAATATTTATTTGAAAACAATTTTAGCTCAAGCCAACGACCCAGCGACTGCAGATGTTTAATCTCAAAAAAAAAATATGACTAACATGGCATTTTCTAAGCATTGTAAACATATTTAATGTTTAATGTTTTATATTTTATTAAACAAAAACTTTGATGCTATACAACTTTTAACATAATGAAATTAGGTATAAGTAACTGGAATAGAAGGAATTTATAATTTAATAGAAGTATTTTAAGTACTTATTATGTAATTCATAATATAGTTATTTTATTTAATATTTTTGTTTACATACGTATTCATTTCAAATAAGAAAATATTGAAATGTAACAAATATAAGACATATTTTCGTTGATATATCCATAGAGGTATGCGTATGGCACTAAGCCATACCTGCATATTACAATTTTGTTTAAAACCAAAATAAGTATATAGCAGTACATTAAATTATCCAATTCAATTTTAAGTAATTAAAAATGTGATTTATKATACAAAAATAATCGTTAGTTATTTTAATTATTAAATCAACTTTAATGACTTATATAGAAGTAACAGCAGCAGTTAAATAACTATTACAATTTTAATAATTACTTAAAAACTTTATTTTTTTTTATTTTATCCTAAACATCATATAAATTTAAMTAATAATCAAAAACTAATGTATTATTTTCTATAAAAATTAAAGTTATACAGTATAATAAAGTCTGAGCTATATCATACATTTAAGGCCATTAATAATAAATATCCACTGATTTCTCTTCCCTTATTATTAAAAATGGTAGAAAAGTTGTTAAATCTAAATAAGTATAATTTACCATTCATCCGTCTCATCAAATAAACACGTATGTTCATACTTGACTTCGGTGGGTATCTAATGTCTATATGAACTGGGATATTAACACAGAAAAGCTCCTTAAAAAATGGGCGGGTATATGTTTTACTAAATCATTAGACGGTAAAYATTTGTCTTTGTATTTTCCGGTCTCCAGCTGTTTTTTGTTAATTTTTCTATTTTGACCTTCAAAGTGGCAAACAGTATGAAATTGGATACCAGAAAATAGAAACCACTCTTAATTTTAGAAATTTAAACATTTTTTTCTGCTTCAAAACGAGACATATAATTTGGAAAAACATCATTGAAAAACAAATAAAATTATTTTTACTGGCCTGGTAAAGGAGGAATATAATATAGATAATTAGATTTATATTATATAGATAGCGCAAACACGTGAACTATTTTGTACCTACAACTCAAATTATAATACTATTTGGACGCGTTTGTGAACGTTATTTTCGGAAAAGCCAAGCCTTAAAATAATGATTAGCGCAAGCATTAATAAATATTACCACATTTATTTTAAATTTATGAGGACCTATAAAACTAGATAACTTTCAACTGTATTTTAAAGTTTTAAACAAAATTTTAAATTATAATAGGTACCCAATACCGATAATCATTTTTGAAAATGTGGAAATTTGAACATAAAAAAATCTATATTCATAAATAAAATGTATACATGTATTAATTTTAATTATATTAAATAAGCCGGATTTTAAAAATAAAACAAATCTTTTAACTATAGTTACTCCATAATGGCTCGTGTATTCTAATATAATATAAATCGAATCATATGTAGTGATTAGACTAATTTCATACCAGTCTAATAATTGGGCACATGATAATTTCTTAAAAAGTGTTTTTTTTTTTTTTACCATTATTCAATATCATTAATAATTAAATCATACAAAGTTAGAAAATCTAGGACATTAACCGAGGCCTCTAAAACAAACTAAGCCAGATGTTCCTATGCATAGCCCCCTGTTACAGGATAGACCATGTAGAATATTTTAAATCAATTTAAATATCTTATATCGTATATCTTATATTATTATTTTTATTATTTCACACTACAACAAGCATACCAGCGCCTCTCAATGCTATTTCCTATCCTAAACAAAAAATCAKTTATACAAAAAAAATGCTCAATATTAATTTACAAGCAATTATTACGCTCACTAATTACCTATGCTTGTCCTGTCTGGGGAAACTGCTCAGTGACACACTTAAGAAAAATA